AGGGGGTGGTCTCCCCATGCCAAGCCAACACAGCTGGACACATTACCACTTGGTCATGTGGGTCTAGTAGGCCAGATCACAGAAATCCTTTTTACAGTCTGAGTTAGTCAGAGCTTCACCGAATGTCTGTGGTGTTCCCAGAAATGTGCCAGGCCTGGAAAGTTTACCTTCCTATTCCCAGCACACTGTCAAATTCACCCAGAGTCACCTTTGATGCAGCCAGACTTTGGACAGATAGCTTTCCCACTCCACCTCGAGACAGAGTTTCTCTGTGTAGCCGTGTCCATCCTGGAGATCTGCCTGCCTCTGCTGCCCCCAGGACCTGGCTAAATTGCTGTTTTAAAAGACATAAATTTACCAGTGGCACAAAGGTGGCCATGCCACACTGGGAAGGAAGACAGTTAGGAACTACCGGGGAGCTTGAACCCAGAAAAAGATGGGTATCTCTGACCCCAGGGAAGAGACAGGGTAGAGACAGAGACTTCATGGGGGGGGGGAATGGGGCATTTAAAACAATCTGTTTTCTCCTGAAAGAGGAACTATTTCCACAAAAATTACATTTTAAAATTGCTACACTTATTCCCAGCAATTACAACAGTGCTTACTTACTAACACTTGGCAGTGTTCTCCTCCGGCTGCCCACCCTCCCTGTGTCCAGACAATCCACCCCCAACAAAGGGGAAGCAGCAGCTCTCTTCTCTCGAATATACATCAGGACTTAAGTCCTGCTGTCCACTCATATCTGTCCAGTGCTCTGATCCCCAGAAGCCCCTTGAACCTGCTGCATGTTGACATCTGTGTGGCCTCATGAGGGAATAAGAATTAAAGGTGTGGTGGTACAAGCCTGTAATCCCAGTCTTCAGGAGCCTGAGGTAGGAGAATCGTGAGTTCCAGACTAGCCTGGACTACATAGTTAGACCTTGTCTCAAAGATAAAAAACAAACAAACAAACAAAACCGCCCCCTACAGTCCCAGCCCCAGCACAGGGGTTCAGTGGGTAAAGGCACTTGCTGCCAAGCCTGATCGAGGATATGAGTTCTATTCCCCAATACTTACATGATAGGAGAGAACTGATCCTACAAGCTGTCCTCTGTCCTCCATACTTGCATTGTAGCATGTGTACACACACACACACACACACACACACACACACACACACACACACACACACACACACATAAATGTAATAAACAAAACCCCAAGGGCCAAGGGTGTGGTAGAGCACTTCCATGGTACAAGGCTCTGGATTCCATCATCAGCACTGCCAGAGAAAAGAAGGAAGCAAAGAGAAAGAAAGAGAGACACATTGCATGCCAGACACTATTTTAGGCACTCTCCGTTTATGAACGAATCTTCACAACAACCTGTGAAGTAAGTCCTAGTATAGATATTGCCAATATACAGACTCAACAACTGGAGAGGTTATATGACTTATGCCTCATTGTACTGCACAGAAGTGATTGGAGTCCAGTCAGTCAGATCCAGAGCCTGTGCCAAGGGTTGCTGTCCTAGTGTTAGAAGGACTACCTATGGCCTTAGGTTTCCCTAAAACCCTAAGTTCAAGTATACAGAGGGAGCTGGCTGGGCAGCCAGACTATCAGGGCACCATCAGCCTCCCAGCCAGCAGATGATAGGGACACAATGGCCCTGAAAACTTAGCTGACAACCCAAATATGGTTCCACCCAGCCTTTTACAGCTTCTACTGCCTTTGTGGGCATGAGAAGCCTGAACAGCACTTGTCATGAATATACCAGGACTTCTGGCTGCAGGTAGGAGAGAAGCAGGGCTATCTTCTACCCTCCTCCTCCTTGACATGCCACTCCAACTCAGACACCAAGGGCAGCATGGCTCACAGGTAGCCTAATTTCCATTCCAGATCCACAAGGTAGAGAACAAATGGCTCAGCAGAAATGGGAGCTGTTCTCTGTCTTAGGCCACACTCTACCACATGCCAAAACCTGATGATCTCCCCATGCATCTGTGGCTTCCTGGACCAGGTCTGGTGAAGCCAAGAATTACATTTCCCAGCCACAGAACATACCTCTACTGTTCCTTGTATCTTGACCATTCTTAAGATTCTCATCTGAAGATGGGAAGCAGTACCAAGGTCTTTCAGGCAGAAAACCCATTTTGCTCGAGTTTATAGGCAGTCACAGACCTTCACCCAGGACCACTAGGAATGATGTTGGCATATTATAGCTGTCTCACACTCAGGTATCCCAACCAGTCTCAGCTGAAAGTGGGACGAGTGTTTTCTGGGAGTGCTTCCCTTCTGGCACCATGGAGAGGTATGTGTGGACCCAGGGGTCCCTCTCACTCTCTGTGGCTCTGCAGCATATCCAGTTCACTGTGATGCACCATAATGGAGGCCATTCTTTTGCAGAAGGACACTGTGGTCCCTAACCCAACTTCAGGATGGCCACAGGATCCAGTGGCCACCAGATGAAATGAGCCCAGGGAAGGTACTCAGTTAAACTGAACACAAGGGTCAGGAGGTTTAGCATCACCACTGTGGGGGCAGCATCAGAAGACTAAACATTCAACACAGCCCCAGAGTCTGTGAATCAGGAACTTTCCATCAGCACCAGCTAGGCCCAGGCTTCTCAATGCCTGTCCCATGTTAAGCAACTAAAAACACCAAGGCTACCCCTTCTCCTGGAATGCAGGAGTCCCCAGAACAGCTCTGAAGTCTCTCGGATGGCAGGAAGTGGCAGGCCCATGCTTGAAAGAGCATAGACTGGAGCCAGTGATGGCAGAGAGGTCCCTACCAGTGACAACAGAGCTATCTCCACACTAGAGGGTCTTAGGAAGGAGGCCTTCCACAGTTCAGCATGGAGGTCCCAGCTGCTTCTGAAGGCACAGGAGTCTCCCTGCTGCCTTAAGTTCTGATGACCTAGTGTCCTTTGAGAGGCAACCATACCACTGACATTGCCTTGAAGGTGGTTCACATCTAGCATGGCTGTGGGAACCAGACACTTTTTGTCAGCCCAGCCCTCCTGTGAATTTTGTGCTGGACCTGAAAGGGTTCTAAAGGGGAGAGCTCCCCCAGAGACAATGCTCTTGGTCTTGCTCCACTGCTTTGAGGCCAACAGAGGTGGACATATGTGGGACAAATCCCCTGGGAAGAACTTGAGGCCTGCATTTTATCCATTATATTTATCCCAGTTACTCACTCCATGCAACCCAGTCACCTTTCTCCCTAAATCCCCCTCCTTCCTGCCATTTCAAACCAACACCACCCCAGAGGAGGCCATGTTAGCTGCTCTGGCAGGCCCATCTTCCAGTGGAACACCCTGAAGGGACCATCCCAAAGTAGAGTCTAGGCTGGCTTCCTTCCTATCTCAGCCATAGCTGATGCCTGCCCCAAGTCTCCTGAGTCCTTAATCCTACGCTTCTAGGCCCTGGGAATTCAAGAGCCCCAGCCCCTGTCTGGCCAGTTCTGTCAAGTGCCTCTCCTTTCTCCTACCCTCTGGAACCATTAGTGATGGGGGTGAGATCCGAGCTCTGTGGAAGGCAGCTCCAGGCTATGATGGGAAGAGAAAGCTTGGGGATCATGAGAGTCCGGATCCTGTAGGCTCTAGAAGTTCCCCTAGCCTTCTTCCTGGGATCCTGGAGCATAGTCTTCCCTTGGCTAATAGCTACACCAGCTCTGCTGATGAACACCAGCAACATGTTCTATCCTCCCACTCGCCCTTCTAACCTCTCCTTTCCGTCTACTGCTGTCCCTGTGACCTGGCTGAGATGGAGGTACACCCCCTTTGTACCACCTCACTCCCAGCTTTGGAAGTGTTCTTGAGGTTGTTCTCTGGGCCCTCAGCCTCTATCTTTCATCAGTCTGTCCCTAAAACAATCTGGGGGGGGTGGGGGAAGCAGGTGAAAATCAGAAAGAGGGAGGGCTGGACCCGTGCAGGGCCCAGAACAGTCAGGTGTATGTGGTCACGGCATTCTGCTGTGAGTTGGTCAGATTCCTCTATCCCAGTGGCCCCTGAGTCATTCCATCTGCCCTGCTATCTTCTTGTCCATGCGTGGTCTAGATTTAAAAAATCTTGCACCTGCTGCGGCCTGAAGAGAAGGAGCAACGAGAAAGTTATCTACAAGGTGCTGCAGGAGGAATACAAGAAGCTGGGGCCCTTGACCTACGCCGAAATCAATGTGCTCTTATGCTTCGCCCTGCTTATCATCCTATGGTTCTCCCGAGACCCTGGCTTCATGCCTGGCTGGCTGTCCATTGCCTGGATCGATGGAAAAACCAAGTAAGTGGGATCAGAGGAAGGCTTTAGTTAGGATAATGCTGTCTGCATGCCAGCGTTTCTTGGGCGCTGTGTTCTGGAGCTAGGCTTTAAAGGAACATTCTGGGGACTTCATTCATTTCCTATCCATCTTGGTGATAAAACTGCAGGTGCATTTGTTTCTGTGGCTCCGTCATGTCCCCCAGAAGGCTGAGCCAAACATGGTTGGTGAGCAGGGTGACCAGATTCCTGGTGCAGTTTATTGGGCTGGAGTAGGCCCCTTAGAGCTGTGGTTTCTGCCATCTTCCTTTCTTATCTTTCTTCAGAAACTATCTAAGATGCATCAAGGTTACTTGGAAGCTTAGTTGGGAGAGAGTACATGTGGGCTCTCCCCTGGCTTTGATGGGGCATACAAGAAAGCTGAGCAAAGACAGAAGATGTGAGTGAGGAGGTGGCTGGCTGGGGCTGGCTGCTCCATCCTGGTTACCTGGCTTAGCAGCAGTTTGTGAGGCCCAGTGAATCCAGAAGTCTAAAACTCCCGGTTAAGAAATCATGAAGTTCACCCACAGAGCAGTGTAGAATGATTAGGGGGGGGTGTGAAAGTCAGGAGGGGGCGATCACCCAAAGTTGGTGGCCAAGAATTTCAGGGTATTGGTTGTAGCCTCCCACCCACTCCTAACCTTGATTTCGGGACCTCTGGTTTTCATACATAACAGAGCCCGTCCCCTCCTGAAGGAGCATTTAGACTTGGAACTGTGGGTTGGGGCAAATTTGTTGTATGACTATCACTGAGTTCCTACGTGTGCTTCCCTACATAGTTATATCACTGATGCCACAGTGTCCATCTTTGTGTCCATCTTGCTTTTCATTGTACCTTCACAGAAGCCCAAGTTCAACTTCAGCAGCCAGACTGAGGAAGGTAAGGAAGGCCTCTCATGGCTTTACAGCCATCATGATTGGATTCCCGTGGGATGGTCCCTGGGTCTAGAGGGCAGAGAATTCTGTCCTACTGAACATGTCTGGCTACATTACAAAGGCCAGGGAAATGGAGATTTTTAAGATATGTAAATTTTCTTTTTGTATTTAAATACTTTAAATTTTATGTATACATCACAGCAGGCATAGAAAGTGTTTTAAATTCTCCATAATGGTGTCAATATTTTTCTTCCTTCCTGTTTTTATGATATGCATATATACTATAAAATTTGTCATCTAAGCACACACAGCTTGAACTCTGTCTCTTTGTTGTTTTTATTGGCTCTTAATTCTTCAATATTTTGTCATATAGAGGGATCCTGTAGACACCCAGATATAGAATATTTGGGCATTTTTTTCTTTAAAAAATTTTAATATATACCCTCCCTCCTGTGTGTGTGTAAGAGGGGGGGGGGCTCCAGGGTGCATCTGTAGAGGTCAGATAGAGGACAGTTATTGGGAGTTGTCTCGGGCTTGGTGAGATATACCTTTATTGTCCCTATGCCATATGCCATCTCACCATCTCACCAGCCCTGAACATTTCATTATAAGTCAAATATTCTGCATACAGCTTTTTCTTTTTCTTTTCTCTTCTTTTTCTTTTTTCTTTTCTTTTTTTCTTTTTTGGTTTTTCGAGACAGGGTTTCTCTGTGGCTTTGGAGGCTGTCCTGGAACTAGCTCTTGTAGACCAGGCTGGTCTCAAACTCACAGAGATCCACCTGCCTCTGCCTCCCAAGTGCTGGGATTAAAGGCGTGCGCCACCAACGTCCGGCGCTACCAACGCCCGGCCCACAGCTTTTTCTTTGTAGGTGTTTCTTTAGGCAAAATTCCTAGCAGAGATGCCCTTAAATGCTTAATAGTTTTTAAGAATATGACCAAGTGGCTGTTTGAAAAGGTGGTTCTGTCTTACGATGCCCTTAGCCGAGAATATAACCAAATCCTCCCCCAGCAAGAGGTTCCATGATTATCGCAAGTTTTTAGCTACTGTGCAGGTATGCACTAGTATCTCATTATCTTTACTGGCTTGTTTCTTCTGATCACATCTCTTGCTTTCTAATGCATGTATGCACACGTGTGTTCTTTTTCTTCACAGAAAGGAAAACTCCATTCTATCCCCCAGCACTGCTGGATTGGAAGTTCACCCAAGAAAAAGTACCC